TCGCTGAGTAATCTATTTCAATAAATTTTGTAAATAAATACGCTATTCCTAAAAATTTTTATATAAGCAACTCTTAAGTGCGTCATAATACCCTACCCTCCCATATATATAAAAAATTCAGACACCCACCCTACTGACCCGGCTGGGTTATGAAAACCAATTATATATATAAATTTATATGCTAAAACCAACAAAATTTTTCGCTATATACTACAATGTTATTACAATCGTTTGCAAGATGATAAATGTTATTAATTATAATTACAGTAATAGCTATAAAACTTGCAAGATGGTATGTTAATTATAATTGCTTTGACCTCGAATTTTAGAATTGATTTTAAAGTTTAGGTATCAGAATTCTTGCCTTAACGTTAGTGCTCCGCTAAATGTCTTTGCTAAACTAAATTAAAATAACCAATCAGAGGGCTTTAAATGAGTGAAATAGTAATGGCGCAAAAAGTAAAAGTTTTCAACACTAAAATTTAGATATATTCTTTCAATATACTTTGTATTAACGCAAATATTTTTTTAGACAAAATTAGGATATCACTGTTATTGAATTAGTCACGGGACCACCAAATTTTTGCGCCATCACTATTTCACTCGACTTTGATCAGACCGGATCAAACTACGGTTCAGGGTCCTGTAGGAATATCCCTCTCGGAATATTGATATATCTGTTTCGGAATATCTATTCCCATTTCTGCATTTAACAGCAATACAGACCGCAGGCAAAACATTATCTTATTTCCTGAAGTTTTAAATTTTTATTAGAATTGCATGCTAGACCGCTCATTTTTTTAAAGCTACGGCACATTATAGCATAATTTTTTGGCAAATTATAATAAATGGAAAATAGCTCGACGAATTGGATCTTCAAAAAAAACGAATATGAAAAATACACTCCCTCACGAAGGGATGGGATGTCAATATGGGAAGAGAATTATAAAAGAGCCAAAGGTGTCAAATTTATTCTTGAAGTCTCCTATGATCTTAAACTGTATGCTTATATTTTAACCCTAACGATTTATCTTGTTCTTTATCATTTAACATGTGATATATATCTAACTCTTATAAATTAACCAAATTTTGTTTTCAGTCCTCAGCAAACGATAGCAACTGCTGCTACCTTTTTGCATCGATTTTATATGCGAAAAAGTCTCAATGAATTTCATCATTATGTAATAATTCAATTTTTTTGGTTGTAACTTATGTAATCTGTTGGATACTGAGGAATAAAAAATATTCTTAAATTTTTATCATTGTACACATTCTACAGGATATCGGTGGGACTTGTGTATTCCTGGCGTGTAAATCTGAGGAAACCACAAGAAAAATGAGCGAAGTGGCCGTGGCTTGTGCGAAGACCGCCAGAAAAGATAAGAATCTCAAAGATGAAAAAGTAAGAGTTTTCTTTAATAAAATAACAAAAATGCAGGATTTATTAAATTGTAACAATTTATATTAATTTAAATAAATAGGAGTTCGAAAAATGGCACCATACGATCACGAAACGAGAACCAACCATAGCGGCAACCTTGTGTTTCGATTTAACTTTAGACCATCCGTATCCATATCTTATAAAAATAATTAAAGAACTTGGAGGTATAAAAAAATCAATCGAAAAATACTTTTTTTTTTTTTCATTTTTAAAAATGGTTATATCCGTATTGCAGTATTGATTTAAATATTATGAATATAGGAGAAATAGAAATTTATAAGGCGATTGCCGGTAAAGCTTGGTCAATAATTAATGATAGGTGATTAAGTAGAAAATGTTTTTAGTATACATGTTCTTAAATTATATGGTGTGTTTATAAAATCTTTTCTTTTCTAAATTGTGTACATCTCAATACTCGAGTGTCTACAGCTTCAATGCACCAATTTCACTCTTTTACAAACCTAGCATAATTGCAAGCGCAGCGATTTTCATTGCATCAAAGTTAGCTAATGTTCAATTAAATGAGATAACGAAACAAGGGACTTTATGGTGGAAGGTTACACAGACTAATGTTTACGAACTATCAGGTAATGCATATTTCAAATTAATAAAATTTAACATGAATAATTTATTATGCATTATCTAATATTTAATGTTTATTATTGATTTAGAGGCAGTAGATGAAATACTGCGCCTTTATCAGATTCGTAAACCAAAACTGGTCAAAAAAAAGGTGTATTTTGGTCGAATTATTTTAATGACAATTATTAATTCGAAATTTAAAGATTTCTAACATGAATCTTGTCATAATACAAGAACGGTGAGTCAAAACATCCTCTTGAAGATGCGGAAATTGTTGTAGAAAATCCTTATGAGGATCTTTCAGAGAATTGTACACCACAAATAGGACAACAGAGTCAAAGTCCTGAAGTACAGATTGAGGAAACACCTAATAATGAAACACCAACAGAACATGACGATGAGATGGAAGATGGGCAAATTGAAGATGGGCAAATTATAGATGAAGTAACTATTAATGGAACAGAGCAGCACATGGGAAATGCGGAACCAAATGGGAGCGCAGGAATGGATTTGGATCCCAGCGACGAAGATCAACATTTAAACTAAAGTTATTTTTCCATCGAACATTAACACCTAAGCATATTATTTTTATAAGTTATAGTTAATTACGCCGGTTTGTCTTTTGATATCCGGAACGAAATTATTATAATTTGAGTTCATTGTTCAGATAATATATATTATTATATATAAAATGTGCAATAAAAAGTTGGTTTTTTTTTTTTTATCGGTTCAAAATCACTAACGTATATGTAAATGAGCTTTAAAATTTCATTCTACCTTAATTTTAAGATTTTCTTATCATATTAATCACTTCAATTAGTAAAAGTCTTTTTAGGGAAAAAAAAAAAAAAAAAAAAAAGCTTTTGAGCGATAGTTTTCGGATTGTAAATTTCGTGTTAAACCATAGAAGATGTAAATAACAAGCATGATTATTAAAACACTAGCAAGTTTAAGATCATAGTTTTGACCCAACATGGTTACTATAAGTTTTCTACCAAAGCGGAAAAAAAAATAAAAAAAAAAAAAAAAGTGTGGAAATGCGTGAAATAATTTGCACCGCAATCACTTTAAAAAAAAAAAAAAAAAAAAAAAAAAAAGAAAAAAAAAAAGAAAAAAAAAAGGGAAAAGTTGCTTCTAGGCAAAGATTATGTGTATTTAAAGGAAAAAATTACAATATTCTCATTTTATAACAAATAATTCTTGTTATTCATTTATCCTATGAAAGGACGTTTCATGCGCTATATTATTACTCATAGATAGTAATATTGTTCTAAGGGTCTATGGTGACTCACTACCTGAATCTTCTGAATCTGAACCAGATGAATCGGAACTTTGAGAGTCAGACGAGTCATCGTTAGAACTTTGACTATCTGAAGAACTTTCGTTCGAATTATCAGTTTCATTTTGACCTTCGGATGGTGAGGTAGCAGAGTTTCGCTCAAATTTCGCTAATGTTCTTTCAAGAGCAAGAATTTGTGCTTCTTGTTCTTCCACTAGAGATTGTGTACGAGGTTTCTTTGCAGGAGGTTGCTTCTTTTTAACTTTAGCCTTTTCGGCTGTATTTTGTATCACATAATCGTACATTTCTCTGGCAGTCTTAATATCTAAAGAATCAATTTCGAACGAAAATTCACCATCTTCATCCTGTATAGGTGCACCACTTTCACGAATAAGGTTAGCAACAACTGCCATTTGATCAGCAGATAAAAGTTGAATTCGATGTCCAAGTTCAACTTTTTGGACAGGAGTAAGACCTTTTTCTTGTTTAATAGTCGAACGAGGACTTTTCGATGACTTTTTAGTACTGCT